TGCTGCTGCTGCTGCTGCTGCTTCTACCACTACTATTACTTCATTATTATCATTATTGTTGTTATTGTCATTATTATTATTGAAAAAATTGACCTTGTGGAATTTTCAACACCACCATCGCTAAATCTCGTTTACACAAGTTACCGCCACTGTTATTATTGTTGTACTTATAGCAATTAATAGTTAGTTTCAGATAACTTTTTGAGTCAATTTGAAATCTGCTTTGTTATTTTAAACAAAGACTGCATTCCCTGGAAAAAATTCAGTTTCTCCAATTTATTATGTTTTTTATAATTCAACGTTTTCAGAAACATTTTTGGCTAATGAGCTAACACGTTGCTGTAATCGCGGTGAGAAGCATTTCCTGCTGAAGTCAAGTTGCGCCAAAATTTACCGGGGCAGGTAGTGTTGTCATTTTTGTTCCCCAAGAAAAGTCAGCCCGCGTATTGAGCGTAGGAATTCTAAATGCTCTTACCACACTAGTCCCTCAATTCTTTGTTTCCTCGCGGTAGAACAGGCTTCTCATTTAAAACCGATATCAGTAAGTGGTACTCGCATGGAGGCAAACAACGAATTGGCTGATTTCCAAAAGAGTGGTACACATACGTCGAACAGACAGTAGGTATTAATTGGCGATAACGCGTCTCAGAATCGAAGGGCCTGGCATAGCTGCGCCCACCGGGTGGATACATCACAGTAACATCACTTACGCTGGATAACCGCATTCAAATTGTGTTGGCAAAGTTACTGTACCCGGCAAAATCCCTAAATGCACCAAAGAAAGACAGCACAGAAGTCGTATTTTTTATTAGTAATTCTCAATTTCCTTGCGGTAAATTATTGTTTCCCAGGCCGACGACAGCATGTGCTCGTTCCGCATCCATTTGTTGCTTGAGAGCTTTAATGGATCGAACTTGCGATTATGGCAGTAATATGGCATTGGATGACAATTACTGCCCGCTCAGTATCAATCAAATTGGCGGAGGTATTAGAAAGGTGAGCTGTTTGGGCTTTTTAAGCCTGCTCATATCACTCATCGATATATTATTATTCAAAATCATTTTTTTCTGGTTCTTATCAATTATTCTGCAGCTAAAGTGCTGTACTCAAGGCTTCCATGCTTCTCAGCCAGCGTTTGACGTGCAAGAAATTGTTTTATCTGTTGACAAAAATAACGAATAAAAAAGCAAGACGGTTAATCCTCAAAGGACAAAATGATAAGCGTAGACCAGAAAATTCAAGCAAATTTTCCCGAATTTTTGTGCACCTACAGAAAAGTTTGTTTCCGAGGGACTGCAGACTTGAGAAATGCTAATTTGTTTTTACTAAATTTTTCATGAAATTCCTCGCTAACTTTTTTCTGTAAATTTTCATTAGAAAATTAAGCATTACGGTACATCAAGAAGGTTGTGCATTAAAATTTCAAACTCCCATCCTCTTCTAATCTCATAGCCAGGGACATTTATTGTTTATGTCTCTAAAATTTCTACAACACAATGTACCTTCCTCGCAGCCACTGTGCCTCGTCTTCCTCGCTTTTACCCTGCAAAATTCTTTCCTTGGTACCAGGAGGACTTTTGAGCTTCTAACTGAGTAGTGTGGACAAATTAGCCGTATTTTTATCTATTTCAGGAATGTTGTGAATGTTGCATGCTTGCGAAGGATTTGATAAGCCATGGTAAGCCGTGCGCGGTACCAACCGGATTTAGCCCGGCATGTCGTCAATCGTTTTTCAAATGCTGCAAACGACAGCACAAAAGCAAACAGCGTAAGACGAATTCACTGAGTGAGTTATGCGTCTTTTCATGGAATATTACGTATATGTACATCTGGCACAAATTCGTTTACCTTCTTGTGCAAGCATAAAAAGACCGATAGCGCTCGAAGAAGTGTTTTGGGTATCTCAAGTTGAAGATGTTATCGGGATACTCTGACATACCGTTGTATATCTCCAGTTAATATTCATCGCCCATTCAATGCATGTGCACCGCCTCTTTGGGTAAAACAACCCCCGGGAACTCTCTTGGGGGTTGTTTCCCTCATCGCAGGTGCGACTCTGCATAAACATTATCCAGTAATAGTAGAATCATATTGTAACAATTATACAATTCTGCTATTACTGAGTAGCGTTGGGACTAAATTTAATGCACCTTTTGGGACTAAATTTAAAACTTGAAAGTTTTTTAGAATCACTGAAAACCCTTCCCCGCATTCTCTTTCAATAAGAGGCAAAGATACTTGGAAGTATTTTGAAGATAGCAGGCGCCATTATCAGTAACTTGCTATCAAGGCTATCGATAACCCCTTCATTCGATGATTGCTTATGAGCAAACTGATAAAATGTTTGACTTTCTAGTATGCGCAAAAACTAATTTATGATCAAAACGAATGTATGCATCCCAGTTGTACCAGGATTTAAACCCAATTTTTTTCCCTGAATTGCTTTTTTTCCTAGTTCTGATTGTATTGCCAGCTGCTCAGTTGAAAATTCCCAAATATTTACAGTCTCGAAAAAAATACGGCGAATTTTTTTGCCGTTCGTAACACTACAGTGTGTTCTTAATAAAATAGTACTTACAGCAACTGCTGTTTTGTACAGTAGCAACAAATATAGGATAAAAAAGAATCTATAAAGCCACTTCATTTTTTCCAGTTCTCTGTTTTGAGACATCTTAAAAAATGCAATAAACTAACTCTACATATGAGACGGTAGGAAAAAAATTTAAGCAGACATTTTTTCTCAAAAGAAAAAACAGACAAACAAACTGGTCGAAGCAGTCGGGGCATCATGAATAGCAATTGCAAATGAAAGAAGGGATGCCAGGTAAAATGGATATGTCGGATTTGAGAAGTTACTGTAAGCTTGAATGGCTCTATGGAATTGTGTGAATGAGAGAAGCCCAAAACAGAGAAGAATGGAGATGCTGCTAGCTGCATCTGCGACGAGAAAGTGACGATGAAACAACAGCAGTGAAAGAGCCTAAACAAAACTCACTGAGGTTGTTGCAGCGGAGTTTCTAAGGGACGTGTAAGATATCGTTTTGACCACGAAAAAACAAAAATCAACTGAACCGAAAATGTTGTTTGTTTGGTCAGCAATTGGTCAGTTTAAATAAGAATCACTGAAAACAATTTTTCTTGATAATAACTAGAAGTATATAGCTTAAGAATCGAAGGGCCTGGCACATTTGCTTCCGGCTTTAGTACCGTCACTATCGTGGGATGCATACACTGATAATCCGGTCACACTTAATAATCACAGTGAAAGATAAAGCTAAAATGTATCAAATTTCAGGCCGCTCACGTACCATTCGATTTCTACGACATGATAATCGCTGTTTAGCTGCTAAATGCGAGCAGCTTTGTGAGGATCGCGGCAGAGAACCGGTGAAATGTGGTTGTAGGCAAGGTTATAAACTGCAGCCAAATGGATACTCATGCGCAGGTCTACTTCATTTTTGAATTTTTTCTATATTTAGTAGTGCTGCTTATCATGCGTTTTTGAGCTGCAAGAGGACGTAAAAAATGCATTGGAGCGAGGTTCACAGTATATGTCCGTATTTGACTGTTTATTTCAAGTGCGGAGTTATGAAAGCGAGAAAGCTGAAATTTCATGAACAAAAAAAACTGAAACCAACTGAACTGCCAAGACTGAAACTAACTCTTAGTACGATCTGTGACCTGAATTTGAAAATTTAGGCAAATTTGGTGACTTTAGAACGAAAAAAGGAGCAACGCTGGAGTTTAATGACGCAGCCTCCTTTCCCGTATAAGAGTTGAAGCCTGAAACCAACTTTTAGATTAAAATTTGTGTCTTAATATTTAACCTCAGATTCGAAAGTTAAGTAAGATCATGCCTATTTGTATTTTTGTCTGCATTTGTGGCGTATGTGCTGGCCTGTTTCTGTGATTCAACTCCAAAGCTCTTATATTTTGGAGCATCGACCCCTGTCCGTGTATAGGTCCAGAAAGATTGAATCAGCCCTCATGTTCGCCAATGTTTTAATATGTAAAGGACGCCAAAGGTCTCTAGCGGATGTTTGTAATATCTATACACCTGGTGCGGTACCCCAGTCTTTACCAGCCGCCTAATTAGCATCTAGCAGAAGTCGAGAAACTATCGTAATGAGGCAAACAGGAGTATTTCCTCTTTCAAATTTTTTGGTAATATTGTGCTGTTTTCGGGCTGTGGGATACGCTTGAGGCTCTACTTTAAGAAATATGCAACATAATGGATTGAAACTATTTTATTCCAGCTATGATCAGTAGTGCCTAATATTAGCTTATGAACTATAGCAGTACTAGCAATGATGATAATAGTAATAGTAATGGTAATAATAGTAGTAATAATAACAATAACAGTAGTAGTACTGATAATAATAATGGCAGGAATAATAACAATATAAATTTACTGTTATTATTATAACTGTATTAAACGCAATTATGTGTTGAACTATTTAAATTCCCCAAATCAATTTTACAGCTAACTGTTAACGATTTTTTCAAATAAAATTTATAATCCTATGTTACTCCAACAAAGAACTGTTAAACTGTTAAATATTGAATTCAGATACTGAGTACTGTATTTACAGATATCAACGAATGCATGCTGTTGCTCGACAATTGCTTAGTCGGTCAACGTTGCGTCAATACACCGGGATCGTTCAAATGTGTTCGGACACTGCCTTGCGGTACCGGATACGTACTGAACAGCGATACCGGACAATGCATTGGTGCATCAGCAGTTCAAGAGTACTTGCAACTAATTGATTCACTGATGCCGTAGCATTAGTATTTTTTGGAAAAATTCCACAATTCGATTAGCTAATGAAACGCGAAATTCCTAATCACAGTCCTGACCGCATCATTGGCATGGCTTTCAATGCTCCTCTTTTTTGAGCGTTGCTTACAAACAAGTGCACTGCCATTTCGGAGCATATGCCAGTACCAATTTACCATCAAAATGAATGAACGAATCGTAGAGGGATTAGTTGTTCCACTGGTGGATTCAAACCCTTTGCCATTTATGCCGAATCGAGAAGATTCTGTATTCTGCTCAAGACCAACATAAAAGCATAAAAACCTCTTTCCTTTTTTCTGGCTAATGGAAATGCCTCAAAAGTAACCCAATTGATAGCACAGCACCAACATCTACCAACTACTAGTAACACTGATAAGATCTCCCACTTTCAGAAATTGCTTAGAAACAAGCTGATGATGGGGTTGGCTCCCAGGCATATGTCATTACCAATTTACCATCGAAACGAATGAACGAATCATACGGGAATTAGTTGCCTCACTGGCGGAGCCACATAATAACTATTAGTCCAGGAGTAAAAGTAATTATTACTAGTGCATTTTGCGGTTCTCCTACGTTTATCACGCTTTTTCAGATATCGATGAGTGCAGGCTAGGCACACATTTCTGCGCACCTCACTATCAGTGCCGTAACACGGCGGGCAGTTATCGATGTGAGCTGAAGAAATGTGCTGAGCGTGAAATCCGGGATCCACGTAGCGGTGCATGTACCAGGAAATTTTGTCATCCTGGCTATAAACCGGTCAATGGCAAGTGTGAAGGTGGCGCATTTTTTTTAATGCGTTTTTGCTGTGCAGCACTATAGCAGCGCTGCTACAGCCAGCAAAAACGCATATTGTCGAGAGGCTGTCTGTGTGTGTATGTGTGTGT